CTGGAGGGAAGCTGGGGACAGAGTGTTGAGGTGCTCAACGGTGTGGAGGGGTCCTGTGCCCCACCTGGGCTGGGCTTTGGGGAGCTCTCAGAGTCACCCCCACCCAGGAGAGAGTCTGTCCCTGCCCTGTGTCCCTAAGAGAGAACTAAACTTGATCTGGGTCCTTCCTCACCCAGAAACAAACCCTGTGTGTGGCATTTTCTGAGTCCCCATTGTTGGGAGGAAAATGATGGATCTAACTCCATGTTCTTATAAGACTTATATTATATTATATTATACTATACTATACTATACTATATTATATTAATTATATTGCTAAACTATACTCAAACTATACTAAAGAATAGAGAATGGATACTTGCAGAAGGCTAAAAGATAATAATGAAAAACTCATGACTCTTTCTTCAGAGTCCGACACAGCCTGACTGTGATTGGCCACTGAGTCAAAACAATTCACATGAAACCAATGAAACAACCACCTGTGGGTAAACAATGTCCAAACCACATTCCAAAGCAGCCGAACACAGGAGAAGCAAATCAGATCATTACTGTTTTCACTTTTCTCTGAGGCTTCTCAGCTTCCCAGGAGAGAGAAATCCTGGCAAAGGGATTTTTCCAGAGAATGTGACGTGGTCTGTTTGGGGTTTCCAAGCTCTGTGCTGTCCCCTGGGCAGGTGAACACGCAGCTCTACAGCCTGAAGGAGAAGCAGCAGCTGGCTGAGCTCATCAGCACCATGCTCACCTACAACCTCACCTACCTGCAGGAGCGCCTGCCCGAGGGCCAGTACGTCTTCAAGCTGGACCCGTGAGTGCCAGGGCTGGGGAGGGCACTGGGAGTCAGAATCCTTCCCTGGAATGGAATTCCCAGAGAATCTGGGGCTGCCCCATCCCTGGAGGTGTCCAAGGCAGGGCTGGATGGGAGTTGGAGCACATGGAAGGTGTCAGGGTTGGAGCTGGATGATTTTAAATCCCTCCCAACCCAAACCATTGCAGGATGCTGTGCTGATCCTCAGGAAGGAGTTGCGAGTTTTGGCTTGGCTCCATCCCCAGCTGGGCCATCCCTCCCTTGGGCTGGGGCTGAGCAGGTTGGGTTTAGTGGGATTAAAGGGAAGGGAGCAGCTTCCTGTGGCTGTCACCAGGAGGTGGCAGGACAGGCCTGGCCCACCTGGGCACACCCCTGTGGCACCTGGCAGCTCTGGCAGACAGATCTGATGTCACCAGCAAAACCTGGCCTTTATTTCTTTAAAGCTTCCTAAGGCATTGGTTTGACAGCTGGTTTCCGAGGGACTGCAGAGCCACCTGACTCAGGGCTTTGCTCCTTGTATTTTAGGGGCAATAATGGTGGATAAATAGTGAATAAATAGTAAATAAATAGTGAATAAATAGTGGGTAAATAGCAAAATATTAGTGGGTAAATAGTGAATAAATAGTGGGTAAACAGCAAAAAATTAGTGGATAAATAGTGAATAAATAGTGGATAAATTGCAAAAAATTAGTGGATAAATAGCAAAAAATTATTGGATAAATAGTGGATAAATACGAAATATTCAGAGCTGGCAGAGGGGGACTGGTGGCTCCTCAATGCTGGGGAAACTGAAACAGGCCTGTTAAGAATCCAGCTGCTCTGATGATCCCAAATTCCTGTTCCTGGCTGGATTCCCATTAAACCTGTCTGGGGGGGCACCTCGGGGTGGCTCTGAAGGTTGAGCTGTGCTGTGCCCCTGAGCTGTGCTGTGCCCTTGAGCTTTTCAGGGCAATCTGTCCAATCTCCTCTTTTTGCTTTCAAGCTGGATTAAACCCCTCTAATCCCTCCTGCATTCCCATTCCCATTCCTGCACGGGGGGAAACCGAGGCAGGAACCACCCAAGGGCAGGGCTGGGAGCTGCTGGGGCTCACAGGCTGCCCAGAGTGAGCACATGGTGAAATCACAGGCTGATTTTTGGGGTTGGTTTTCCCTGGAACGACCCAGGGGCAGGGCTGGGAGGTGCTGGGGCTCTCAGGCTGCCCAGAGCTGGCTGATTTTGGGGTTTGTTCCCTGTTTTCCATGCTGCAGGAATGTTGAGGCCGTGTGCCGTTTCCCAGCCCTGCCGGCCCGCAGGCAGCTCAGCTACCAGGCCAAGCAGCTCATTGCCAGGGAGATCGAGCTGGAGAAGATGAGGAGGACAGAGGCACGGAGCCTGGCCCAGGTGGGCATCCCCAGGGGGCTGCCAGGGCTGGGGGTGTGCAGGAGATCCCCAGGGATGTGTTTTTCCCCAAGCTGCGGGTTGGAAATCCAGGATTAACCCCCCTGGCTGCAGCCGTTCCCCTGCACAGCTGGGCTGGCCTGCAGGGCTCAGCTTTTGGCAGGGATTCTGGAGGGAGTTCAGGCTTTGAGCCCTTCCAGTGAAGGGTGAGAGGAGGTGGGAATTTTTAGGTGGGGATTTTAGGTGGGAATTTTAGGTGGGAATTTTTGGCTGCTGTTTGTACCTGGCCGTGTGGGAGGTGAACTCTTCCCTCCCTCCCCTTCCCTGGCTGCTGCCACTTCCAAAGCTCCCAAAGCTCCCAGGAGCAGCAGAGTGGCTCTGCCCACTCTCCTGGAGGCAGGAAAAGATGGGAAGGGGTGGAAAAAGGTGGAGAAACATCCTGGATGTAGTTGATGCCTGCCCTGCCCTGGTGCCAGAGGGATAATTAATCCCTGGGAGCCCCTTGGAGCAGGAAAAAGGCTCCTGGGAGGTGTGTGGGACAAAGAGAAGCTGCAAAAACATCTCTGAAGGCTCCTTGTTTACGTGGTGGGGATGTGAAATCCCAGGGAAAGGGGCTGGGGCTGATCCCAGGAGGCAGAAAAGGATGGGAAAATCTTTGGGATATTGCAATCCGACCTGGGTGGGATGGGGCCAAGGGGGTGACAGGAGCTCAGTGCCCAGTCCTGGAGCTCAGACACCGCAGGGGGAGCCTGGCCCAGCTCTGTGCTCCCCACAGGAGCCCGGGAATGGCCCCGGGGAGGAGCTGGGGGACACGGAGCCAGCGGGGACCCCCAACCACCACCAGCGCCTGGAGCACATCGTGAGGAGAGCAGCCCTGCAGGACAAGGTCAGGCCCCAGTTCCTGCCCCAGTTCCTGCCCCAGTTCCTGCCCCACCTCCCCCCAGCCCTTCCCTGCCAGGCCCTCCCTGGCTCCAGTGCAATTGGCATTTTTAGTCCAGTTTCCTTGAATAGCCCGGCCCAGCTCTGTGTGTCCTGTAAAGGCCTCGCTGGGATTGGCATGAATTGGGCTGGGTGACATTTTGGGTGCGTCCTGGGAAGTTTTCAGGGCTGGGGGAGGGAGGAGCTGTGGGGATTTGGGCTGAAATAGCTGAATTTGGGCTCTGTGGGAAAGCAGCTTGGAAAAGCTGCTCTGGAACGTTCCCACCCTGGGCTCCATGAGGAGCTGGCATCCTTCCCTGGCACTGCCCCTCTCCAGGGCTCAGCTGCCAGCCCTCTCCTGCCTGTACAACCCCACCTGAGCCTCACATTTTGCCTTTCCCCCAAATTTGGATGCTGTTTGCCTTCCCAGGCCTCTGGCCCTTCCTGCAGGATTTGCATTTGGCTCCTGCTCTGCTCTCGGGGTGCCTGAGCCGTGCCCAGGGACAGCCCTGCCCTGGTTCTGTCCCTCCCTGGGCAGCAGCTGCAAGTGCAGGTGCCCCAGAGCCACCCCCATTCCTGCTTCTTGCTCCCCACAGCCTGAACTGGACTTTTTTGGGAGGCCACTCCAGAGGAAAGAGGCGGCCAAGGCCCCAGGTGGGTGACAGAGGGACACAGAACTGGGTGGGTGACACAGGGACAGAGTGGCTCCATCCCCAGGTGGGTGACAGAGGGACACAGAACTGGGTGGGTGACACAGGGACAGAGTGGCTCCATCCCCAGGTGGGTGGCACAGGGACACAGAACTGGGTGGGTGACACAGGGACAAAGTGTCCCTGAGCTCTGGGTGGGTGGCACAGGGATGGGGTGGCCTCAGAATGGGGTGGGTGGCACAGGGACAGGGTGGCTCCATCCCCAGGTCAGTGGCACAGGGGCAGGGTGGCACAGGGGCAGGGTGGCCCTGGGTGCCACTGGGGGCTCTCCCCATTCCCAAAGAGGGGCTCCTGTCCCTCATCCCTGTCCCCAGGGGACAAACCCAGCCCAGCTGGCAGGGAGTTCCTGTGGGCACATCCCTGGATTCTGCCCCATCCAAAGGGAATCTGGGGGGAATTTTTGGTTGCAGCATCCGGGATTTGGGAGCCGCAGCTCTGCCCTTCCAGAGCTTCCCCAATCCCGCTCTCCAGCCAGGGCACAGCTGATAATTTGAGGGGTTTTAAAGTGGATTTTCCTGCTGCAGCCCCCCAGGTTTCCAAGGAGGAGTCCCTGGAGCTGCAGATGGGAAAGGCCGTGGGCAGGAGCGACGTCTGGTTCCGCTTCAACGAGGGCTTCTCCAACGCTGTCAGGAGGAACCTCTACATCAGAGACCTGCTCTAGAGGATCTTTTACATCTCTACATCAGAGACCTGCTCTAGGGGGGCACCCCAACATCAGAGACCTGCTCTAGAGGATCTTTTACATCTCTACATCAGAGACCTGCTCTAGGGCCATGCTCAGCTGAGCTGGAGCTGAAGGATCAGCTAGTTTTGCCTTTCCAACCCATGGCTGGCCTGTGTGCCCATGATTTTGGGCCGTGGTCTTTTTTATTACGCACTTATTTTGTTAAAAAAAAAAAGAAATAAAATGGATCTAAAAAAAATCAGTGCTGAAGTATTGCTCTGTTTATTTCAGACATAAACTCGAGGGGCCAGGTTCTGCCTGGTTTGCTGGGAAGCAATATCCTACAGTGTACAAAAGTATCTAAAATCACTAAAAATGGGGGCTTTTATAAAAAGCTTCTTTACAAGTTGCAAAGATCTGCCTGTTTTGGGTGGCAGGGGTGTGAGATGAAGCTGCAGCACACCCCTGGGGCAGCCTTTGCTGCTCCTTTTCCCCAGGCTGCCCATCCTGGGGGGTTCCCCATTTCTAAAACCCCTCCTACAGCTACAGGAGCAGAAAGGAGCAGAGGGCAGGGTTTGTTCAGGTTCTGGGGCTGGAACCGGAGCTCAGGGATCCCAGCCCGTCCTGCAGGGGGACAGAGCTCAGAGGATGATGCATTTGCCTTTCTCCACCCAGGGGTTGTTCTTCATCAGCTCCGGGTTCAGGAAGGGATCCTCGGGAATGCCGTCCTCGATCCACTTCACAAACCTGCAGAGAGGGGAGCGAGGGTGGGCACGGCCCAGGGGGAGCTGTGGTTTAAAGGATTCTGAGCTTTGGAAAGCTCTGGGAAGGGGGGATCTGCATCCAGGGTGCAGATTCTACTATAACATATGATATAGTAGAATATATATTCTAAATATATATATATTTATATATCACATAATATAATATAATATAATATAATATAATATAATATAATATAATATAATATAATATAATATAATATAAATTTCATTTTTAAAATACATATATAAAAGAGAATCATGGAATAGTTTGGGTTGGTTGGTAGGAACCTTAAAGACTATCCAGGGCCACGATTTTATATATAATAAAAAAATAAATTATATATATATATATATATATATATACAAAGACAAGAGAGTGCGCATGTGTGTGTGTGTATATATATATATGTACATATATATATATGTACACATATATATTTACACATACCAAATTATATATAAAATCAAATCTATATTTTAATGAAATTGCGGTGGAAAATAAATTCATATTGCACATATGTGTTTATGTAGATAGGATACAATTTCTAGCTCAGATTTATGATTTTTTAGGCATTACGGATAACATAGAATGTATAGAATGAAAGGAAGGGAAGGTTTAGGAAGGGAAGGTTTGGAAAGGAAAGAGGAAAGGAAAGGAAAGGAAAGGAAAGGAAAGGAAAGGAAAGGAAAGGAAAGGAAAGGGAAAAGGGAAAGGGAAAGGAAAAGGGAAAGGAAAAGGAAAAGGAAAAGGAAAAGGAAAAGGAAAAGGAAAATCCCCACTCACTCAGGTATGGTCTTGGAGGACATCTCCCTCTTGTAGGCCAGCTGGTACTTGAGGCTTTCCACCTCTTTTTTCCATTGTGGGAGATCCCACTCATCCATCGCGCTCTCCGAGGGCTCCGTTGGGCTGGGAATGGGGATTTTGGTGCCTTGTCCTGCCTTGACCCCTCAATTACACCCCAAAGGCTCCCCCAGGATGGGGACAGGCTCTGGGGGAGGTTTCCAAGGCCTCAGAGGAGCAGCCAAGGCCTCCGGGAGCTTTTGGGGCTGTTTTGGCTGAGGCAAAGGCTGCCCGGTGCTCCTCTCATGCAAAACTCAGGGACCGAGGCAGATTTGACTGGAATTTGGGTGGGGAGCGGCTCAGAGCAGCTGAGGCTCCTGGGGAAGGGGCTGTTTGTCCTTGTCCTGCTCTGAAGGGACCAGGAGGGATTTGGGGCTGCCTCAAGAGCACTGAAAACGTCTCAGGGCATGGCCAGCCCAGATTTGGGGAGCAGAGCAAACCCCTCTGCACCCCCCACCCCATTGTCCCCCAGCAGCGTGATGGGGAAACTGAGGCACGGCAGCTGAGGGGGCTCAAGCAGTGCCCGCAGCGGGGTGGCCCCCGTGTCACCCCAAAACCCGGTGGCACAAGGGGACATTCCCCTGTCCCCAAGCCCACGAACCCCAGGTTGCCCTGGCTGCCGGAGAACGGGCGAGACCCGGGCGAGACCCTGCCGGGGCAAAGCTCCATCCCAGCTCTGCTCCATCCCAGCCCGGCATCCCCGGAGCTGCAGCCGGCACCGGGATCAGCCCCTTCCCCTGCCCGGGACCGGGATCAGCCCCTTCCCCTTCCCCGGACCGGGATCAGCCCCTTCCCCTGCCCGGGACCGGGATCAGCCCCTTCCCCTTCCCCGGACCGGGATCAGCCCCTTCCCCTTCCCCGGACCGGGATCAGCCCCTTCCCCTTCCCCGGACCGGGATCAGCCCCTTCCCCTGCCTGGGATCAGCCCCTTCCCCTTCCCAGCCCCGGGAGCTGCCCCGATCCCGCACATCCCCGCTCGCACCTGGTTTGGGGGTACCGACAGCAGAGAAACGGGGCCGCAGCGGCAGCCCTGGCCTTGCCCTCGCTCCTCCCGCAGCCGGCCCGGCTCCCGGCGGCCCCGAACGCTCGGGATGAAGCTCGGATGCTCGGGATGATGTGAGGATGCTCGGCTGGTGCCGAGGGATCACGGCTGAGTCCTCCCCCCGCCGCTCCCCGGGGATTTGGCTCCGCTGGAGCGCCCGGGATGGAGGCGGCTCCTGGTACCCGGCCCGGCTCTGGAATTGGGGTTATCCCCGCTGCTCCCGGTCCCGAGGGGCACAGGGAGGAGGGGACGGGTGGGGGACATCCCCAGGGAGGCCCTGGAGCCCTGCTGGGATCCCTGACCTGATCCCTGCCCCAATCCCTTCCCTCATCCCTGCCCTGATGCCTGCCTTCATCCTTTCCTTCATCCCTTCCTGCATCCCTTCATCCCTTCCCTCATCTCTGCTCCGATCCCTGCCCTGATCTTTGCCTGAATCCCTTCCTGCATCTCTGTCCCAATCCCTGCCTTCATCCTTCCCTCATCCCTGCCTTCATCTTTTCCCTCATCCCTTCCTCCATCCCTTCCCTCCTCCCTTTCCCGATTTTCCCCCTCTGCTTCCCCCTGGATTTTGTGGCTTTTCCCCTTTCCTGAAGATGGAGAGGCTGGGAATAACTGAAAAAGTGGAAAATAAAAGGATTTCCAGCAGAAGGGAGCAGCTAGGACAGAGCACCTGGCACGTGAAAGGGCAGCGTCATCAATAATCAGAATTAATCAGAATTATTGATGAGGGGTTTGCAGGGAAGGACAAAAGCCCCGGAGCAGCTGGAGCTGATTAAAGCCAAAATAATCAATGGAAAATCAGAGGTGGGACCCCCCCAATCTTTGTTAAGGCATTAAAAATAAACCTGGGGTAAAAGTTGTTCCAAAAAAAACCCAACCAAGACTTGCACAAAGCAAAGCCCACCCAAATCCTGGCCCAGGGCTCCTCCTTTCCTGGGTGAACAAATATTGAACATTTATATAAATAAAAATCATGGAAATATGGATTTAATATCGGGTTAATATTGAATGCGGATTTAAATTTGGATTTAATTTGGATTTTGTGTCTCTGCATCACACCTGGGCTGGGCTGGAGCCATTCCCCCATTCCTGAGGGACAGAATTCCCTGGGGGAGAGAGGAGATGAAGGTGGAATATAAATATAAAATAATAAAATTTTAAAATATTATAATTTATATTTAAGATTATATATATCTATAAATATGATAGAATAAATAATATAAATATATGATATTATAAATAATATTATAAATATAAATAATACAGTAAATATATAATATTATATAGTAGAATATATATATATTCTACTTTTGATCTTTATAAAAAAGTATATATAAAAGAGATGGAATGATTTGAGTTGGTAGGAACCTTAAAGATCATCCAGGGCCACGATTTTATATATAATAAAAAAATAAATAATATCTAATATATATACACAAAGACAAGAGAGTACATGTATATATATATATATATATATATATATATTTACACATACCAAATTATATATGAAATCAAATCTATATTTTAATTTTAATCAAATTGAAGTGGAAAATAAATTTATATTACATATATGTGTTTATGTAGACAGGATACAATTTCTAGATCAGATTTATTATATTTTATGCATGAGAACATTTAATATATAGAATACATATATATGCACACATACGCATACATGCCAACATTTATGTGTATATATATATATAAAATATAAATATATACACACAAAATAGATATAAATATAAAAAATAAATATATAAAGTAGAAAATATAAAATTATAAAAGAAATAAATATACAAATATAAACAATAACAAAATATTTATATAAATATTGATATAAATATTTATAATTAGCAGGTTACTATACAAATTTTTATATATAAAAAGTAAAAATAAAAATAAATATTAAAATAAAACTATTGAAAAATAACTATAAAATATAAAAATAAACATATAAAGGCTTCCTGAAAGAGACATCTTATAGGACATACATAGGAAATAGATACATAAAATATTTAAAATCTATTAAAAAAAGATGTGTTTTCTGTGTTCGTCTGACGTGCCAGGAGCAGGAGGGTGCCCTGGGCTCCCCTCCCTTCCCTTCAGGGAGCTGCTCCAGGCAGGAGCAGGGAGGGATTCCAGGGATTTGGGGTCCATCCCGCCCTCTGTGCAGGAGCAGGGAGGGATTCCAGGGATTTGGGGTCCATCCCGCCCTCTGTGCAGGAGCAGGGAGGGATTCCAGGGATTTGGGGTCCATCCCGCCCTCTGTGCAGGAGCAGGGAGGGATTCCAGGGATTTGGGGTCCATCCCGCCCTCTGTGCAGGAGCAGGGAGGGATTCCAGGGATTTGGGGTCCATCCCGCCCTCTGTGCAGGAGCAGGCTGTGATTGCAGGGATTTGGGGCGCAGCCCCCCTTGGTTTCTGCAGATTAAGCTCCCTGGGCTCTGCACTATTATTGAGCAGGGCCATCTGTTAAGCTGCCATTTCCATAGTCCCGGGATTAAATCTGGGATTTTGGGCTGAGAGAGCAGCTGGAAACGTCTCTGTGACCCCAGGGGAGCTGGGCAGGGACCCAACCCCGATCCTCAGAGCTGATTTAGGGGCAGGGACCCAACCCCGATCCTCAGAGCTGATTTGGGGCCAAGGACAGGGATCCCGATCCTCAGAGCTGATTTAGGGGCAGGGACAGGGACCCCGATCCTCAGAGCTGATTTAGGGGCAGGGACAGGGACCCCGATCCTCAGAGCTGATTTGGGGCCAAGGACAGGGACCCCGATCCTCAGAGCTGATTTAGGGGCAGGGACAGGGATCCCGATCCTCAGAGCTGATTTGGGGCCAAGGACAGGGACCCCGATCCTCAGAGCTGATTTAGGGGCAGGGACAGGGACCCCGATCCTCAGAGCTGATTTAGGGGCAGGGACCCAACCCCGATCCTCAGAGCTGATTTAGGGGCAGGGACAGGGATCCCGATCCTCAGAGCTGATTTGGGGCCAAGGACAGGGACCCCGATCCTCAGAGCTGATTTAGGGGCAGGGACAGGGACCCCGATCCTCAGAGCTGATTTAGGGCACCAGCAGGGCTGAGGGAGCTGGGAAGGGGCTCAGCCTGCAGAAAAGGGGGATCAGGGGGAATTCTTGGCTCTGCACAGCTCCTGACAGGAGGGGACAGCCAGGGGGTGACAAGGGACAGGAGAGGGAACAGCCTGAGGCTGGAAAATTCCTTCCACAATCCCCAAATCCAACCTTTAATGGATCCCTGTCTGATCACTGCCCCAATCCACACTGACTCCTGTCCCCAGCCCTCCTGGGGATGTCCCTGCCCGGGCAGCCCCTTCAGCTCTTCCATGAAGGAATTCCCCAAATACCCAACTCAGAGCAGTTCCTTCTCCTCCTGTCCCTGTTTATGTTTATTTCCAGGTGAATTTCACAACTTGCCAGGTGAAATTCATGATATTCCAGGTGAATTTCACCATTTTCCAGGTGAAATCCACAACTCTCAAGTGAAATGTGATTTTTGGTGCTGTCCCTCCCCTGCAGCTCTGCTCCCTCGTGCCTGGCAGCGTTGCTGAAGCAGCTGTGTCTGCTCCAGCTTTGGGGTGAGGCAGCTCCAGGGCCCCATTTCCTGCTCCAAAGCCACTTTTCCATTTTTAATGAGCTCTGTTCCTCTCCATTTCACCTGGAGCAGAGCTCAGCCTTCCTCCAGGAGCACTCCAGGCCCAGGGGGAAGTGCAGAGCTCCAGAAAAGGCTTTTTTCCTCATCCATAAAAGATTAAATCATTACCTAAAGGATCCATAGGGCTGCTCCAAGGCATTACAACTGAGCAGGGATCAATAATGGAGAAGGGTTTACTTACAGGAAAGAAGCATTTCCCAGATTTCCTGCGCCCAGGGGGAGAAATCCAGGCTGGAAGGGGACACAAAACCCCTGCCCTAAATCTGTTCCCACTCCCTCTTTGGGGTCCTGGCATGGGGGGATCTGGAGGAGACTCAGCCTGGCCCAGTCCAACCCCAAGGCAAAAATTCAAACCTCAAAATAAACCTCAAACCAAAAACCCAATACTCAAAGGAAAATCTTAACTCCACCAAAAAAAAAACCCCTAAAGCCTCAAAAAATCCCTCAACTTCCTAAAATCCCCTAAATTCCCCCAAAATCCTCTCAACTCAAAAAACCCCATACCCCAAAACCCTCTCAACTCAAAAAAACCTCACCCCTCAACATCCTAAAAAAAACCCAACCTCCCAAAATCCCTCAACTTCCTAAAAAACCCCATAAACCTTCACCAAACCCTCAACTTCCTAAAAAACCAATCTCCCAAAAAATGTAAAACCCCAATCCCCCAACAAAATAAACCCAGAGGCAAAAAAACCTCGAAGCCAAAAATCCCAATCCCCTAAAAAAACCAGGACCAAAACACCCAATAAAAACCCCAATATAAAAAACCCCAAAGAAACCAAAGCCAAAAATAAAACCCCAAGCCCAAAACAAAATCCAACCCCAAAAATCCCACCCCAAACCAAGTAAACAACCAAAAGAAACCACTCAAAATGTCGAAGTAACAATGGAACTTAGACAGTTTTAATGAACAAGGCGTCAGATTTCCATCCAGGTGCATTTTTTGTGGGAACTTTGGGATAACAAGAGCTGCAGATCCCCCAACCCCTGTGGAAATGTGCAAAGTGCCCCTGGGCACACTTTGGGGTTTGTTTTCCTGCAGAGCCCAGCCCAGGCTCCAGAGCTCTTCCAGGTCACAGTGAATTCCAAATTCCCATCAGATTCAGGACGTGGGAAATGCCACGTGCACCAATCTAAACCTTATTTTCAGCAGAAAATAAAAGGCCAGCCTGAAAGCTGGATTATTTCCAAACAAAAGCAGCTCTCCACTGCCCCACACTGGGGCTGGCTGAAGAAAATAAAGCTCAGTTTTATCTTCAGCCTCTTGGCTTAGAATGAAACCCAAAATCAGAGCTGTGCAAACAGCACTGGACCCCAAACTGCTGCAGAGGGAGTTCTCAGCTCCCTGGTTTCAGCTTTTCCCTCTCAGCAGTTGCCTCTTGCAAGGTTTGTGTCCCAAGAGGAGGAAAAAGTCTTTGCTGCCTCCTGCTCCATCCAGAAGCTTTTGTCAGCTCCTGAAAACAACTCCAAGCCGCTGCCCCTTCCAACAATCCTGAATGTGTGGAACTGCAAGAAACTCCCAAAATGTGGCTCTGGATCCACTGCAGAGCCAGGGAAGTCAGGTTTTAGCTGACTCTTCCTGGAGGTGACAACCAAAGCAAACCCAAGGAACTCTCCAGGAAGAGACTGCTTGGATGAAAAACCAACTGGAAAATATTCCTGAGGATTTGGTCCCAATTAAAGCTTCTCAAAGGCACTGACAAACTTGGAAACCTCCTGGTGAACTGTGGTGCCAAAGGGGAGCTGCCCCAAGCCCTGGGAAGAGACAAAACACAGTTAATTCCCTTCAGGAATGTTTTTTAAATATAAAAACCATTTCAATATTTAATTGGTGAGGGGTATCAGGGATCTGCTTTGCTGATAAATCCTACAAATACTGGGATACTCACAGACTCGAGGAAAAAGGTGCAGAGCTGCTTGGCCCAGGGACACCTGAAACACAGAGAAATTCCCACTCAGTCCCTCCCAGCTGGCCACAGGTGCAGCCACCCCTGGCTCTGCATGGCTCAAAAACCTACAAAAATCCAACAAGCTCCAAGCCAAGGGGATTCCAGATTTACAGGAGAATGACTGGGGGGAACCTCAGAACTTGCAGCACCAGGGGGACAATCCCAGAATTTCAGGGGGCCCTGGGGCAGTCCCAGTGGGACAAGGTCAGGATTTTTTTCAGGTGACCCCACTCTCAGGATGGGAGATTCCCAGGATTTATTTGGGGTGGCCCTGGGGCAGTCCCCACTTTCAGAATGGGACAATGACAAGATTTATTGCAGGTGCCTCTGGGGTAGTTCCCAATGGGACAATTCCAGAATTGATTCCGGGGGGCCCTGGGTTAGTCCCCACTCTCAGAAAGGGACAACTCCAGAATTTCAGGTGGCCCTGGGCAGTTCCAGGGGCACAATCCCAGGATTTCAGGGGCCCTGGGGCAGTCCCCAGTCACTCACAGGTGCAGGTTCTCAATGACCACGTTGAGGCTGAAGAGCCCCACAGATTGCATCCTCTTGTGTCTGCAGGTCAGGAACAGGCACAGGAACTCCCCCACGTACTGGGGGCCGAGGTTCTGCCACCTGGACAACAAAAACCACAAAACCACAGGGGTGAGACACTGGGAGCTCCCTCTGGCATCTGGGGGAGCCAATTCCCACAAAGCCAAGGCAGGAGCTGCTCCCAGCACTGCTGGAAGCCAGGGGGGCTCTCCCAGGGGTAAGGGAAGGAGGTTCCCCCTCTCTCCCAGCACATCACAGCTCCCCAGAACCACAAGGAAGGAATTGCACCCCAGCTGTGCATTCCCCAGATGTGCACCCCACATTATCCCCCTGCCAGGGCTCACTCACACTCTCAGCATGGTCCCCTCCTCACGACTCAGGTCCCTCAGGAGCAGGTTGGCAGTGCCACACAGGATGTGCTCCTCACAGCACAGCTGGTCCAGCAACAGCCTCAGAGCCCAGAAGTTTTTCTGAGAAGAGACAAAATACGATTTAACCTCACTGCCAATCATGCCTTAAAATAAATTAAAAAAAAAAAAACAAAAACACAATAAAGATCAAAGCAAAGTCTAGTCAAACGTGGCTAAAACTTCCAGGATGGTGTTTTATCATTACACATTATTTGTTTTCATCTCTTAGAACAGGAATCAGTTTCTAGCACTCACCCCAAAAGCCAGGACTATCTCTAAGAAGGAAGTCAAGTGGGGAAGGTCACAACAAAGCATCTGCTGCACTGCTTGCACTGCCAGGATGAGAGAAGCCTCGTGGTGCAGCTACACAAGAGAGAAACAAGGAAAGAAATGCATTTAACAGCTGCTTTCCCTTTATTTACCCACTCAAACCAGCACTGAGTTATTCCAGGGCAGCCACAGAGCTTGGAGGGCACACAGCAAACCACAAGAACCTTATCAAGAGTTAAACACAGGGGGATGGAACGGGGATTTTATTGCTGGTGCTCTCAAAGCGCTCACATAAAAGGGGAATCTCACACAAAAGCAGAAATAGGGAATTAAAGGGGAAAAAATCCAGCTCAGGAGTAACATCTTTGGAAAATAAACTGAAATTTCCTCCAAAAAAGTAAAAAAAGAGTAAGGCAGCTCCTTAGATGACTGCATTGAATATGGAATGTTCATATCTCCAAACAAGTCCCACATACCTGAAAACCTTAATTTAAAAGAAATTTAGAACTTCTGGGCAATTCTGAGTTTTGAGAAGCCCCAGGGTCCTGTTTGAGCCAAACCCTGGGAGGAGTCAGGACACAATCAATTATTCCCAGCCCCCTCCTTTATAAATCCATCAATTTGGACAGGGATAAAGATTTCTCCTGAAGATGTGCAGAGCAGAGAGAACCTCAGTTCTCTACCTCCATATCTGCTCCAGAGTTCAGACTGTGTTAATCTTAATCTGATCACTCCCAAAAAATCTTCCAGGCCTCTCTTGAAAGCCTTTCTTAATAACCCAACAATTTTCAGTGCTGGGGATAAATTCTTTGTTGTCATCACTCACCTGACCAGAGAAAGTAGCAGATGGTAAAGAGACATTAACTCCAGACTTGAGATCCTCCAGGAAGTTGCCACTGGCTGCCAGCACATTCTGCAAGGGGACAGGGAGGGACAAGGATGGCAGATCCTCCCCAGACAAACCCCAAACCATACCAGAAATGGGGGTTTCATGAGCTTTTCAGTGACTTCTTCAGCATTTCTGCAGAGGATGCTGCCTGCCCACCCTCCCAGCCAGGAATTCCTGCCCCATCTCCCATCTGGCTCTGCCCCCTGGCAGTGGGAGCCATTCCCCCTGTCCAGGCCCTTCCTGATCACCATGAACAGATCCAGAACCAGTGCCAGGCCTGAGCTGGGAGCAGAATGAACCCATTTCCAGCTGCCTTTAACACTCCTGAACCCCCAGGTGCTGCAGAGCCACCCTGGCACAGGATGGGGCACTGGAAGTTCACTCTGGCATCTGGGAGAAGGAGCCAATTCCAACACCCACGGAATCCTGTCCAAACCCAAGGCAGGACACTGCAATCCTGTCCAAACCCAAGGCAGGACACTGCAATCCTGTCCAAACCCAAGGCAGGACACTGCAATCCTGTCCAAACCCAAGGCAGGACACTGCAATCCTGTCCAAACCCAAGGCAGGAGACTCTCCCAGCTCCCAGCACTGTTTGGTACCTCTTGGAAGCTAAGGGGGGGCTCTCCCAGGGGTAAGGGGAGCAGGTGCCCCCTCTTTTCCAACAAATCACTGCTCCCCAAAATCATGATGAAGGAACTCCAACATTTGGCCTAAAAAACAACAGAACATTTGTGTTACAAAGTGAAATCTGGGCAGAGAGGTGAGTTACTCAGAGGAAAAGGGTCAGAGTAAATCCTTGCCCTCTCAAGGAGAGGGAACAGGAGAAGAAGGAATTTTGGCCTCACTCACATTCCTGTAGAGTGCCTCACTGCTGTAGAGCAGTTTCAGTGCCTGCTTAATTAGCACAGTGTTCCTCAGGGGAGAGCCTGCAGGGATGGAAATGAAAATTATCAAACCCAGACCCCACACAGCCCAAGTCACTCCACAGCAGGAACTCAACCAGCATGTTCATTTGGTTACAGGTTTGTTCCTGCAGAGCCAGCAGGTGTTTACAGCTGTTCTACTCTGGTTCGTGGAGGAATGAATAAACATCAGCTACAAACCACAGCTCTGGAAAGCTGCAAAGTCTGGACACCATCCAGCCTGAGCCAGGTGATCCCAGAGAAGCGTTTGCTGTGGACACCACACCACACTGAGGGATCTCACACTTCCAAGAATTCTGCCAGCAGGGAACAACTCCCAGATAAATCTGAAGACACCCTGAGAGGTGACAAAGCCCAGCACAGATGATGGCAATTATATCAGAGGCTCAGCTCATGATTCTGATGATGAAACATCTCCCATCAGGAGGTTTGCTCCTCAAGGTCATGGCTGAGACACAAAGCCAAGTCCCCCACTGCCATGGCAATGCCGGGAGAGAATGAAGAGATTTGGATTTGCTTTGAATAGTTTCTCTTGCTTTGCTTTCAGCAGAAAATGAGCTGACAAAATGAGTGTTTTAAGTGAAGTGAATAAATCCATGCTCCAGGAAAGGGAAGGAAAGGGAAGGAAAGGGAAGGAAAGGGAAGGAAAGGGAAGGGAGAAGTGACACTCACCAGCTGTAACCCAGGGCCCTGTCTCCAGCATGTCATTCCCAGAGGGAACACAGCCTGTCCTGAAGATCTTGAGGTAGACCTTGAACTGGCAGGGGGTGATCCTGCAGGCAGAGCAGCAGGCCAGGCTGTTGACAGGGAACAGCAGGGAGTGGGCAGCATCCAGGAAATTCCCAGTTTTGCACAGGTAGAACGGGATCAGATCCCGGAGGTCTCGGAGCCTGGGAAGAGGAAATGAAGGTTTGGGGTTCATTAGGATGGGGTTTGTGTAGGATCTGGGGAGAGATCTGGTTGGCTTGACCACTACAGAGGGAAGGGAAGAGAGGGGGAAGAAGGGAGGAAAAAGCAGGGAAGGAAATGGAGGAAAAAGAAGGGAAAAGGAAAGGGAGGGGAAAGAAGGGAAGGGGGGGGGGGAAAGAGAGGGGAAGGAAAAGGGGAAAAGAGAGGGGAAAAGGGAGGAAAAGAGAGGGGAAAAGAAAAAGAGGGGAAAGAGAGGGAAAAGCAAAGAGGAGAAAAGAGAGGAGAAAGAAAAGGGGGGGGAAGAGAGGGGAAAAAGAAAGGAGGAAAAAGGAAAAGCAGAAAAGGGAAGGGAATAGGGGAAAAGAGAGGGAAAAAGAAAAGAGGAAAAGACAGGGAAAAGGAAAAGGGGAAAAGCCCTTTACCTTTGGTTTTCATTGCATTTCACAGCTCTCAGGTACCGAACAACTTCCTTGTACCTGGGGAGAAGAACAGAAGGTGAGAAGGAAGGGGAAGGAAGTGCAGAACTGTGCACAGGGCAAACAATGAAAGCAGCAAACCAGGAGAGCTTCCCACGCAGGAGGACAGCACAGCAGGACAGAAATAAATAAGTATTTGGAAATATTAGCTGGAAATAAATTCCTAGAGGTTACTCCCAGATTATCTCAGCTGTGGCAAAATAAAACAAGAGGTTGCCTTGCAGTTGAATTCTTTAAGAGGACTGGATTCTTTGCAATATTGGATTTTCTGGAGGACAGCCCTCTGAAGACCCAGAACAGACTCTTCTGGCTGCCTTCCACTTGTCAGCCTCTGATGAAGAGGAATTGCTTGGAAAATCAACATGTAAAACCTGTAGGGTTTTTGGAGACACAAAAATGAGCCACTCCAGCAATCTTTTCTGGATCCTGAGGCATTCAAAGGGCTTTGAGTGACTTCAAAAAGCTCCTGGCCTTGTTGAGAGGAAAAAAAAATATTAAAAAAGAGTTTGTTTTGTGTTTCCCCATACCAAAGTACAGTTTTGTGTTTCCCCATACCAAAGTGCAGAGGTTTGGAGCAGTCAAAATATAAGAACTGAGTTCTCAAAGTGGAAAAGCCAAACCAATCTCACTTCTTTTTCTCCAGCAGTTTCTCCACTCGAGCCTCCACAACAGGGAGAGCTTCCCACAGGTGGGTTTTCCTTCCTTTCTGCCTCCTCTGCCCAGTGATGTTCTGGCCTTTTAAAACTGTGGTCAGCAGCATGTGGTCCCAGGGCAAAACATTCAAGCTGGAAAAATAAAAAGAAAGTAATTTTTAACTGTGTTTTGTTGTACATGACTAATTAGCTCCTTTAAGGATTGTAAAGTTTGATTAAAAAAAACCATTTTGGGGTTTAGAGCTCAGTTCTGGGGGAAAGGAAATAAAACTTTAGGGAGAACAGCTCAGTCATGGCATCAAACAACAAACAGGGAAAGCAGCAAATACTGAAATATTCCTCTAAAATGCTCCCACTTTAATTATCAGGGAAAGAACACTCCACTGGATCCAAACACACTCAGAGGCCCCAGAACTCACCTGTTTGAGAAGGCATAGCAGTGGCAGGGAAGGGAGATGGACTGGAAAAACTCAACAAACTTGTCATACAGAATTTTTGGGAAGTCACACAACACCAGCATCCTCTGAAGTCGGGTTATGATCCTGAGATTTGAAAAGAAAAATAATTCAAAAAGGGTATTTTAAAATGAAGTGAGTTACTAACAAGTGGTCTTTTTTCATCATATGGGAAACTGCACAAGTTTGGGGGGTTTTTTGTTTGCATCTGTATGTGAATTTCTGCTTTAAGTTTTGTAGTGAATAATGAAATTATTATTGTGCTGTTGTTTTTAAAACCAAGGTTCTGTGGGGTTTAAGCTTTAAAACAAGGATCTCCAAGAAATGTGTAGAGCAAACACTTCAAACTGGGCTGGGCCTGAGCTCCTGCACCTTTCCTGCTACTGGAATCTTTTCTGTATTAATTGGTAAGTGGAGATAAAAAAGAAGAGTTTACTCTAAAATTCTGGCAGAGGGGTAAAGACGAACTCTTCCCTTTTTTGTTCCAAGTCAGAAATTAAAAATTCAAGAACAGCAATTTAAAATGAGAACTGCTCAAGGATTTGGGTTGTACCTGTCATTAGCTCCAGAGAAGGTGAGAATACAGAACTGGGTTGGAAAGAATTGAATTCCTCACTCATCAGCCTTCTGTGGCAGGTGAATTTGGGGGGACAGGTGAAGGATAGAGCTAAAATGGGAAGTGAATTAAGCCAAGGGAGCTGGGTGTCCTCATTCTCCAGCCTCTGGGGGAGCTTCTCCATGCTCCATCCCAGGGGAACCCTGTCAGGCTGCTGCTGTGACCTCTCCTTGGTGCAACAACCACAACCTGCTCTGGCCTCCCACGTGCCTCTGAAGAGAGGATTTGTCACCTGAAACACGTTTTAAAGCCAAGGAGAAAGTCTGGAGCCAGCAAGGAAACCAATCTTACCTCTGGAACAGAAATGGGACAGCAATCCTCAGGGAAGCAGTGTGGCTAAGGCTCTGACAGCTCCTAAGCCTGGAAAAAACCAACACAAATTAATGCCTGGCTCCTCTTCCTGCCTTTTCCCCTTGTCTGTACTCAACTCTTGAGGAAAACACTTTTTAAGGAAAAATCTTGGAAGCTGGCATGCTGAAAAAAATTCCTGCAAAGACTGAAACAAGTGCTGAAGTGCAAAACAGTGAAAAATTCCCAGGTACAAATGCAGCCTGCTCCTTGCAAATCTAGATCTCTCCTCAGCAGGAACTGCAGGGAGCTGCTCTTTCAAACCAACCCAGACATCATTTCCCTCTTTTTTGACAAAACCCCTGAACTTAAACCCCAAAATGTTCAGATTTCACAAAACAAAGCTCCTTGTGCTGTTGAAAATTGTTCTGCTGAGTTACTAAGTGTAACTTCGAAGTTCTAAGTTAGGTTAAATGCTGTTGCAGTGTTATTCCCCTTAAATCATTAAGGTTAAGTTTTAAACTAAGCTTAAGTTAGGTAAGTGCTGTTTCTTCGTTGAATTGCTAAGCTTAAGGTGTAATTTAAGTACTGTTAAGTGGGAGTGCTGTTAAGCTTTTAAGGCCGAGCTCCCTTTTATGTTTGCAGTTCCCTTTGTCCCACACTGCCCTCGGTGGTTCTCGGTTGGTTTCCTTTGCTGAATGCCTGCATTATGTTCGGGTTTGTTGTTGCTTGTTTGCCTTTGTTGTGCCTAAGCTCTCCTGTAAACACTGGAGCAAATCTTGCCAACCAACTCTGTTGTTTAATATTAAATCTGCCTTTCCCTTGGCAGGGATTTTTGACAGAAATCTCAAACTCTCATTCCTGCTGAACCTTTCCCTCTCACATCCAAGCTTTTCTTTTTCCCCCAATCCCTCCTGCCCCAAATCCCACTTCTCCCTCAGTGTGTTCATCTTCCTCTTGTTGCGCTGCAGCCCAGGCTGGGATTTTTACACTTTCCTAATAAACAAAGCCCCAGGATTGTCTCACTAATTCCCCTCCCCTGGAGGCAAGAGGGAAGATGCCCCACTCTCTGTGGGCCAGGTACTTACAGAGCAGGGTCTTTGTGCAGGGCAATCTGTTTAGCTGCTCCCAGCAGCATGACAGCAGCAGCTTTGGGGCTTTCTTGGTCTGCCTGATTTAAAAATCTTGTTACCAGCTCGAAAACATCAGAATACCTGAGAAAGTCAAGTGGCCTGTAAGATCAAGGGTCTGCAAACGGATTTCCTAAACAAGTGGTAATTGTGGCCATCCCACAGCCTGAGAGCAATCAGAGCCCAGCCTTGCCTTCAGAGATCTCCAGCACACTGAGGAGGGGCTGGCACCGCCAACACTTTGGGTTTTGAAGGTTTGTTATACCAGTGAAAAGGTGAAACTCATTCTAGGAAATAAATTAGTAAAAAATCCCAGAATGGGTTGGGTTGGAAGGAACCTTAAATTCCAACCCAAACACCTTTCACTGTCCCAAGCCCCAATGTCCAACCTGGCCTTGGGCACTGCCATGGATCCAGGGCAGCCACAGGTGCTCTGGGAATCTGTGCCAGGGCTGCCCACCCTCCCAGGGAAGGATTCCCTCCCAATATCCCCCCTAAAGCCCCCCCAAAGCCCAGGCCACAGGTTCCCACTTTGCCAGGCTGTAACAATCAGAGATCCTCAGGTGTCCTGCACAGCACAGGAGATTTACAGACACACTGAAGAGGGACTTTAAACTACAGCCAAATGCAATTTATCTTGCTGACCACTTAAATTCTCTCCACTCTTTTTGCCATCTCAAGTGCCACAATTTTGATTACAACTCACTAAATAAATCAAAGTTGCCCTGACAAACCCAAATCTGTCGTCACTTACTTGTACACCACCTCCACATTCCGTGAGCTGCAGACCCTGCACTGCCCTGGGGGCAGCTTTGGCTGGCAGCAGCATTCATATCCTGGGGGACAGATCCTTTCTCCTGTCAGGTATTTGTTATAGGCTACAGAAAGATCCCGGATGAATTTTTCTAGCAGATCTCCTAAGAGACAAGACAAAAGCAAAATTACACAAAGAGTTTTGCATGTTTTTTTTTTCCAAATCAAAAGAGAAAGTTCCCCATGTGAAATTATTTAGGAAATTGTTTGCATTCAGTTTTATTGGTCAGGAAAGCTTTGTTGCTGAAAGAGGGGAAATTTAGGTGGGATATTGGGAAGGAACTGGTCCCTGGGAGGGTGGGGAGGCCCTGGAGCACCCTGGGATAGTGGGAAGTGTCCCTGCCCAAGGAAAGGGGTTGGAATGAGATCATCTTCCAGCTCCATTCCACCCCAAACCATTCTATGATTCTCCCAGATGGAGAAAAGCAAGAATCTGCACCTGCAAACCCATCCCTGGTCCAAGCATGGAAAAACAAAGCAAGAACAGCAATTTACTCCTTAAAAACTCCCCAAGGATTGGAGCGGAGCAGCCAAGCTGTAACCCAGGGCAGAGACTGAACAGGTCTCTGGGGACAAAGCAGTTAGGACAGGACCTGAGCAGCCCCAGGTATTTGGGGACAGAGCAGCCAGGCATGGCCTGAGCAGCCCCAGATCCCTGAAGGGACAGAGCAGCCAGGACAGGACCTGAGCAGGGCCCTGGGGACAGAGCAGCCAGGACAGGACCCGAGCACACCCAGGTCTCTGAAGGGACAGAGCACTCAGGACAGGACCTGAGCAGGGCCCTGGGCTCAGAGCACTCAGGACAGGACCTGAGCAGGGCCCTGGGGACAGAGCACTCAGGACAGGACCTGAGCAGGGCCCTGGGCTCAGAGCACTCAGGACAGGACCTGAGCAGGGCCCTGGGCTCAGAGCACCCACCCCCACGGCGCAGCTCTGCGTCCAGCTCCAGCAGCTCCAGGTTGAAGGTGGCCAGGATTCCAGCCAGGGCAAAGTTCCTCTGTGCCTTCCAGAAGTTGCTCTTGTTGTGGGCATTGCAGTGGCACATGGAAGGGACTGTCCAGAGCTGGCACTGTGTCAGAAAATACAAAACAGGGAGAGGTTGCTGGGGTTTTGTGTCTTCCCTCAGCACTGAGTGAAGGGTTACGATTCCTTTTATCCTCCTTGCACCTGAGTAAGTATCTGACAAGCAACAATTTGATATCATGGCAATCATTATAAAAAAGCCCCTCATTGATTACCTGTCATTGCTGAGCCCTTCACAGAGAGCCTCAGGGCTGGCACCCTCCCCACTGGGAACTGAGCCCTGTCTTTGCATGTGTACCCCAACTTTGCCCACAGCTCAAAGTCTTCTGAAATTCCAAAAGGTCCAAGCAAATAAACCACGCCCACACAATTCCCCTCACTCCTAATTCCAGTGAGGACAGAAAGCTGGCATTTCTCTAATTCATTAAAAAATGTCTGATTTAGTAATCGGATTTTATAAAATGCACTGTGTGCCCAAAGCAAACAGGATAAATAAATGCGTGTTTACTCCAACAATTATCCAGACTAGAAATAAACCCCAACAGAACCACATTTTTAATAGTTATGAGGAGCTG